TTTCAGTGAACTCAAACGTTCATACTCGCATTTTGGTAAGCATTTCAGAACATTGTTTACTGTGCTAATGAAGAATGCCATATGAGCCTCCAGACGTTGTAAAAGGGTATCCCGGGATAAGCATGTCAAAATGCCCTTGTGAATGAATTTTTATTTTAACCATTTTAAGTCATTAAAGTTGTCCTATAACTTAGGTTTTGGGAATTTGAATTCATTTTGAAAAGAAGAAGAAAAACCTAAAAATGTACGTGGCCTATGTGTAACAAGGTGATTAAATAGTGCTAGACCCACACTATTTAGGAGGGGGGAGAGGCTGGACAAAGCCAAAAAGTTCAAAAATTTTAAATCTCATCAGAAGATTACACTCGTTAACGAGATCAAAAGCCAAAAAGTCCGAAAAATATACAATCAGAACAAACAATTTTTAGCTTTTATGAGTAGATATAACAAAAGAGGGTGATTTCGGTAGAAATTTTATGTTTTTTCTGCTGGTCTTTTTTTGTTTTTTTCGTGAGATGAACCGTTGAGGTGATATTTGCAAAAATCTAATCTTGGGTTTTCTCAATTTTGAAAAAATTCAAAATGGCGGCGTCCTTACCACCTAGTAATTTTCCTGAAGTTAATATGGGCATATCCGTACTTCTTTAGCACCTATGAATCGAAAGAAATTGATTTGCTTCGAAGGACAGAACCCATGCTGAGCAGTGTAATGTGTGCCGAAACGGGCAATTTGGCCGTTTTGAGGTTAGAAAATTGCGTGCGTGGGAGTTGCGCACCACTCTGATCAACATGAAATTTTGACTAAATGTACTCAAGTGGCTAAGTCATGAGTTTGGACAATCAAATCGGATGCACCTCTCTTTTTTTTCACGCGGAGTGATAATGGGTGCCGAAATAGACAGTTTGGCCGTTTTGAGGTTAGAACATTGCGTGCTTGGTTGATGCGCACCACTCTGATCAACTCGAAATTTCGACTCGTAAGGTACTTAAGTGGATCACTTAAGAGATCAGACGATAAAACCCACGGATATTTCTCTCTACATTTCTCCACGCCTAGTCATTAAAAGAGGCTATGGTGGCATTTTGGCCGTTTTGAGGTTAGAAAATTGCGTTTTTAAGTATGACGCACCACTCAGATCAAAACGAAATTTTTTCCGTATTAAGAAGAGAGACAATTTTTGTTTGTGTCCTCGTTTCCATAAGTCACCTATCCGCAAAAAAGGGAAAAAATGATTTTTTTCAAAAAAAAATTCTAATTTTTTTAGAAGCTAAAATATTATCCAATAATGATGAATTTTTTTCTACAAAAACTAAGCTGATTGATGTAGATTCTGTCAAATTTTGGTTCAACTCTATCGAAAATTACGAAAGTTATGAGGAAATGACGTTAGCATAGTCAAAAATAGCCCCAAAAAAGCGGTTTTTGGGGGTCTGAGGGGGGCGGAGGGGTTGGGTTGCTAAAATTCCCCAAAACCTAAGTCTTAGGACACCCTCGATGACCTAAAATGGTTAAAATTTTTTTTTTTTTTTTTTTTTTTTTTTTTTTTTTTTTTTTTTTACGCGGCCGCCGTGAACGGACGCGTCTTTGTGACGCTCCGAGTGTTTATTACGAATAGTGTGTAATTCGGGCGTTTTTCGAACAGATTTTAACATCTAGTTACTCGTCTTAATCTCCTCTTTAAGACTATGTGTGAATTTTCCGCGATTTCAAGTTAGTTCAGTTACGACGTGTTTTCCGAGCTCAATCTAGTACCGGAGCTATAGCTTGCACCACTTCTAAAGAATCTGAAGAATGTGAGGAATGCCAATAGCGTAACCAATAACGTAAACATTCCTATCGAAAGTCGATTCTATTGAAGTCTAAATACACTACGTACACTTAAGGCATGATGATATCAGCGACCATCACTAATACGATTAAATCGTTCGCTGGATTATCGACGGCGAATATTCCGACTGAGACAGCGTCGCCACGAAATGGAACATATGCACTAAGGAGCAACGTGAACAAGGAGTTGGAGTCTGATAAGAAAACCAGTTTCAGCTCTAACAGGCCCTCACCTTCTCCATTGTCACTCTCAACCGCTGGCCGAAAGACCACAAGGCGCGAGAAGATAACGTCCAAGCCGGCACCAAAGGTAGCATCAGTGACACCTAACAGTCAAGCCTCTCCGAGTGCAGCCCGCAATAATAGCAAGAAAAGAAATGCGGTCTCATCTACTAAGTCTCTGGCCCCTTCAACTGACGGTGATACAAAAACAACTGCTTCACCAACGCTTTCATTACGAAGTCTTCCATTGTGTTCTTCTAAGCGGGTGAAATCTACTTCTTCTTCCAAAACCAAAGCAACGACTTCAAATGTAATAGTACATTGTAATACTAGTAATCCTGTCACAACCTCAATGAGCACCCAAACTAGTCTTGAGCTCGATCTAGAAGTCCAAAGGGATGCTTTAAATAATGAACTTATAGATACTAAAAATAAATTAAGTTCTTCTTTGCATGAGAACTCGATGTTGATTGATGAGATAACAATTTTAAAAGAGGAGATAAGGGTTTTGAATGAAAAATTACATTATGTAAATAAAGTAGAGGACACTTCAAATCTTTCAAAAAACAGCTTAACCAAAAAGAACAAAATGTTATTAGACCAAATTGACGCGCTTAAAAATGACCTAAGCAAGGTAAACTCCGACAACTATTCCCTTCAAAAAGCAAATAGAGGCATACTTAAGCAATTAAAATCAAAAAAGCCAAAACAGAGTCTAAAATTGGAGTTCAGCTTGAGAAACACTTTTATATTTAAAAAATTTAGGAATACAGGAAATTCAAAGGCGTTTCAACAGGTAGTCCTTAATGTTGATAGATTAAATCAATTAAAGGAAGAAAGTGCTAAGGCAAGGAAGGGAAAAAAGAAAATAATTATCCTAGGTGATAGTCACTCTAGAAATTTTGCCAAGCATTTGCACTTAAACTCAACAAACTTTGCCATAGAATCATATGTACACCCAGGTGCGGGTTCAAATAAAATACTTGCAAGTGCAAACTTTCCTGACCTATCCAAAAATGACTGTGTACTAATCCTCTCGGGTTCTAATGACGTTTATAAGATAAGTAGCAGAAACCATGATAGTATGAGTGCAGCCAATCATCCTATCATTTCCTTTGCAGCTAGGCATAAACATACAAATGTAATTGTTTCTGCGGTACCCTATAGGAGGGACAAAGCACCCTCTGATCCTATGAATCAACAAATCTATGATTTTAATTTAAGTTTATTTGACCTAGGACAAAAGTATGAAAATTGTACCTTCTTCAATAGGATGTGTTTTGCTATTGGGAATGATTATTGTAAGGACGGACTTCATGTGAAAGATAATTTCAAACGCTTGCTGGCGCTTGAGTTGACGTCATTCCTCAACTTTCATTTAAACTAAACTCCTCTGACAATGGAAATGCTAATTTTCTGCGCTCTGAAATTTTGACTCTTGAAAATAACCGTATCAACAATATAAATTCGCCTAAATTCCAATTACTTAATCTAAATATTCAAAGCCTCCATAAAATTGGAAAAACTCATCTTCTTGCTCTTGAGATGGGCAAATTAAAGTCCGAGCCGGATATTATCTGCCTTACAGAAACTTGGTTTAAGCCAGATAGCGCTATTCCCCTCTCTAATTACATTTGCGCTGACTCCAAGGCTAGAGAAATTTCAAGAGGAGGGGGGTCTGCAATCTATGTCAAGCCAACTATTAAGTATTCTCGTCCTCAAATTTTTGAAGCCCATTCTGTAGAGCACCACTTTGAAATTTCGGCTATCTCAATACATAAACTTAATAATATTCATCTTAAAAAGCCTTGGGTTATTCTATCAATATACAGACCGCCTACTGGCGATTTTGAAGTAATGTTGGAAAAATTAGAAGCAGTACTTAGTACCTTACACGAAATGAATTGTCATTATAGTCTATCAGGTGACTTTAATATCGACTTTCTGGATCCACGGCGTAAAGATGTTATCTCTCTCTGTAACTTGCTCTCTGAATTCAACCTTCGGCCGATATTTTGTGATGAACCTTCCAGGGTAGCTAAAACTTCTGCCACTTTGCTTGACAACTGTTTCTCTAGCTCTCGTCCCATTGATTCTGTAACGTGGGATCCAGGGCTTTCAGACCATCGAGGTCAAATTGTCTCATTTCCCATCGATACTGAAACCAATTATATTAATAATAAGCGTTTTAAAAGACACTGGTCTGAAGAGGCCTGTCTAGGTCTAACTGGGCAACTTCATTACTTTTGCTCCACTTTCGACCCTCAACTTGGAAATGTAAATAATACAGTAGAACATTTTATCAGAGGCTTGTACTCTGCTATTGAACTATGTTGTCCTGTCCGACCAGTAAAGTCATTTTCTTGCAGGAGGTTAAAAAATGATACCCTCAATTCACTCAGTGAACGTAAAAAAGAATATCATTCTCTGTATAAAAATACTGGTCTTCTTAAATATAAAAAGCTCTTCAATAAAACTAATAAGTTACTTAAAAAGTCCTTATACCGAGAAAAGCGTAAAAATGTTGAGAGAATGATTAAGAACTCCAAGAACAAATCTTTTACTACGTGGAAAATTATAAAGGACCAAACGCCGAGTACTAATAACAATTCACTAATTGATGCTGTTCGTTGTGATGGGGTGATTGTTTCTGATCCAGCTAAAATAGCTAATGTTTTCAATGAACATCTCACCTCCCTGCATAATACGTTTCCAAGTAATTTAGCTCATTCTATGGCTCTGGAGATGACAAAAAAGTCCCTGAAAAACCCCCCTCCAACCTTTACATTCTCCCAGATAACACTAAATGAGCTATACTCATGTGTCTGTAGTCTCAAGCCAAACAAAGCTGATACATATGGCTGCATACCTCCATTTTTCTTTCGTGACTATTTTTCTATCATTGGTGAGCATCTGCTCGTGCTGATTAATAAATGTATCGTGACAGGTGTGTTCCCGCACTGCTTGAAATCTGCCAATGTAACTCCTTTGTTTAAAAAGGGTTCCAGGCAGGATGTATCTAACTATCGACCTATTTCTGTTCTTTCTACAGTAAGCAAACTATTCGAAAAAATCCTATTTAAGCAGCTTCTATGCCACTTTGAGTCCAATAACCTGCTATATGATCACCAGTTTGGCTTTAGAAAGGGTTTATCTACCACCCATGCTCTGTATAAACTTATAGATAAAGTTCTCACCGCCTTTGAAAAAAAACTTCCTGTAATGAGTATACATTTTGATTTAACCAAAGCTTTCGATCTCCTCAATCATTCTTTGCTACTCAAGAAATTACATTTATACGGTCTCTCTGAAAATGCCTTAACGCTCATTGCTTCATATCTTTCTGATCGTAATCAGAGAGTAAAAATTGACTCTGTCAATGGACCCATTCTTTCTAGTGTCTTACCCTTAATGACCGGAGTCCCTCAGGGATCAATTTTAGGCCCACTTTTATTTATCATTTTCATGAATGACCTTCCCTTTAATGTCAAATACCCCATTTTACTATTTGCGGATGACACTTCTGCCTTAGTTGAGGGTGGAGATGTAATACTTAAGGCTCGTGAAGTGTATGACCAGGCCTCCGCCTGGTTTAATGCCAACGATCTGGCGGTTAACCAAAGTAAGACACAAGCTTTAATGTACTCAGCCGGCTCTAGTAATGCTCCATCCATTGATTATTGTATTCTAGGAGACTCAAATAGTATTCGACTGGAAAACTCTGTTGAGTTTCTTGGTATCCAAATAGATAAAGGGCTCACCTGGAAAGAACATACCAGTAAAGTCATATGTAAATTAATCCGAGCATCTTGGGCCCTTCGCAACCTGTCAAGAATATCTACCCTTCAGTGTTGCTTAGCATTCTATCATGCCCATGTTGTTTCCCATATGAGATACGGACTAATCCTGTGGGGCCGTAGCACTGGAGCAGAGCAAGTTTTCATGTTACAAAAAAAGCTCGTCAGAATTATGTTTAATATGCCCCGGAATGCCCACTGCCGCCCAATCTTCATAGAGCATAGATTGTTCACCCTGACCTCCCTTTATATCTTGGATAGCCTAAAATTTGCAATCTCAAATGGATTGGTATCTCCCTCTGATCTTCTACCGTCTCATAATTACAACAGCAGACATAGAGATATCAAAAACGTAAAAGTCCGATTGAAACTATCTGAGCAAGATTGCAAATTTTCGGCTATCCAAATTATAAATGCTCTACCCTGGAATGTCAAAAAACAACTCCGCGACGGTGATATCCGGAAGTTTTTCAATTTACTTCGCGATCTTCTTTTGAGCAAGGCTTTTTATAATTTGAACGAGTTTCTAAACTCATCTGTTGAATAACGTTCTAACCACCAACTAATGTACAGTTGTAATTTATATTTTTAATTATTGTATAGTGTTTCTTGACCTGTACCATAGCCCTAATAATGGGGCTCCCATGTACAAAGTTTTAATAAATAATAAATAATAAATAAATAAATAAAATAAAAATCAATTCACAAGGGCATTTTGACATGCTTATCCCGGGATACCCTTTGTTTTAATATAATAACCGCGTTTTTCCTTAGCACGACAGACCAGTGCTGAGAGGTTTCCGTAATGTATTTGGGGACATACTTTGTCTCTTTTCCTGAGAGAAAGGGATGCAGACGGTTAATTGGATAAACTTTATTTGAAGTAAATGCTCACTAAAAACAATATGGCTTGACTGCTCAAACAGTTAGTGACACAGCGAGCTTAAAGAGCAATCCTGGAGTTTGAACCTTACTGCAGGATCCGACCTGGAAGGCAGAGAAGCGAGCGGCTGAGGCAGTAATAGAGGTTTCAACGATTCCTTTTAGTCGCACGCGGATCCCTTTTAAACTCCAATTTGTTTTCAACAGTAATCTATCGATTAGAGGGAGCAAAATTTGAGACAAGTGACTCCAAGAAACTTCTGCCGGGGCCAACTTGTCCTTCTTAACACGTTGAAGCCGGGGAATTTGAAAGCTCAATTTCACGACGGCACTTTTGCTCCCGTTTTCTGCAGATTATTAGATCACCACAGGATGTGTCTAATTTATTAGCCATCAATAATTAATCACTTTCTTTCCGTTTGATTAATGGAGGCCATAAAAAGAGACCGTAAATCCCTGGAACTTTGGAGGAAATCGCCGACGTTTTGTTCGCTCCATGTGCGCCTTCCCCCGCCAGGACGGAGCCGCAATAGTCCAGGCAAATAAGCCAAAAAATGGGCCACTGCCTGCAAAAATCCCGGGTAGTAATGTTTCCATTGATCCCTACGTAATTTTTGCCGCTGAATCCGAATTTCAACTTAGTAACAAAAAATTCGGACCGGAAAGTTACCAAATTTGGCAAAAATGGCCTAAAATCGGTCTTTTTCCGGATTATGGCCTGTAACTTGCCAAAAGTTGATGTGACGATAAAATTAGTTATTTTCCAAAATAAAGCTCGTTAAATTTCCTATAAAAAAGTTGCTTCAAACTTTTTGCTCAAGGCAAAATCAAGCGCGCTGGCGGGCTCCGAACTTTGTAAAATGTGCAAAAATTGCGCATACTGTAATGTGTCGGGCTCCTTATTTTTTACATCAATTCGTTTCACTAAGCGTGAATTTTATCATCTTCACTTAATTAGTCCAGAAATACTCGTCAGACGATTAAAACAGGAGACATCGGGCAAAAACCGTGAAAAACACAATTTTCGCTCAGTTTTCAAAGTTCGGGCCCGCCAGCGCGCTTGATTTTCCCTTGAACAAAAAAACGTATAAGAACTTATTTATAAGAAATTTAGTGACTTTTGTTTCTGAAAAAACTAATTTTATCGCCAGACCTATTTTTGACAAGTTACAGGCCATAATCCGGAAAAAGGCCGATTTTAGGCAATTTTTGCCAAATTTGGCAACTTCCGGTCCGAATTTTTTGGTGCAAAGCTGAAATTCGGATTTAGCGTCAAAAATTACGTAGGAATCACTGAAGGCACCTGGGAATTTTGCAAAAACCGCAAAAAAACGCGATTTCCGCTCATTTTTCAAAGTTCGGTGTCCGCCAGCGCGCTTAATTTTGTCTTGAGCAAAAAGGCGTTTAGGAACTTTTTTATGGGAAATTTAACGAACTTTATTTGTAATACAACCAACTTGTCGTTAGATCAATTTTGGACGAGTTACAGGCCATAACCCGCAAAAAACCAAAGTTTCGCTCATTTTTCAAAGTTTGGAGTCCGCCAGCGCGCTTGGTTTTGCCTTGAGCAAAAAAAGTGTTTGGAAACTTTTTTACAGGAAGTTTAACGAGTTTTATTTCTGAAAATAGCTAATTTTATCGTCAGATCAATTTTTGGCAAGTTACAGGCCATACTCCGGAAAAAGGCCGATTTTAGGCCATTTTTGCCAAATTTGGCAACTTTCCGGTCCGAATTTTTTGGTGCAAAGTTAAAATTCAGATTCAGCGTCAAAAATTACCGGGGAGTCAATGTAAACATTGCTACCAGGGATTTTTGCAGACTCTTTTCCTTATTTGCCTGGACTACAACTCCCGTGCGGCCGGAAAAACGACGTATGACCATTCGAATCTAGCCAAAGTTCTTCTAAGAAGATATGTATTTTAAAAGGAAGTCATGGATATTTTCCTTTGAAATTTTGAAAACATTTTGGAACCAAATTACTGACAAAATTCTCAGAGAAGTCGGAAGAAAAATATTTTGAAATATTCCGATAATTTGTGATTTTTGAAAGGAAATTTGACAACGTCTGAATGCTCATACGACGTTGTCCCTTGGCACGGGAGACAATGATACAGACTCGTCTTAGGCGCCGCAATTAGATAAAAGATCAAATATTCGCCTTTACGCGCTTTTCCTTACACACTAGTTTCGAATAGACCTGTCATTCATCCTCCACGAGGGATGAAGAAAACTCAAAGGAGGGTTTTATGGGATCAACAGCTTTGCCACTCTAACAAATACATCGAGAATACAGGTACCTGCAATTAGCAGCAAAATTTCGTTTTGCCCAGTCCTCATGGCCAAAATTGAAGAGGAGTCGGGGCTATAGAAGTGCTTAAAAAGAACGGATGTTTGAAATTTCATTATTCCTGGGCAGCAATCGGTGTCACTTGTTAAATATACATTTTCGCCAATATATGGGTTGATTTTATCCATTATCACTGGTATCAAAGGTAAATTTTATGATGAAATTGTGCACTGAAAAAAAAGTATGGTGACATTTACTATGAGTCTACTTGATTTTTTACACAGTGATACTATTTAGTGGAAATAACCAGAATTATAGTAGTATTCGCCAGAACTCTGGTGATTCTTACCATAGTATGGTAAATGCCACCATAGAGTCTGGTGTTTATTACCATATTCGTATCACTGTGTCAGAGATGGTAAAATCTACCGGCATATTTTTTTCAGTGTGATTTTCAAGTTTAGACCTCGTTTTTGTGAAATTACCTGCTATACAACCGAAATAGTGTGTTCACGAAAAAAAAATGACACAAAGCTAAATTTGTATTAGATAACATTTTGCTAAGTAAAGCATTTCTCCCGAAGATAATAATCAAATTCAACTGAAGAAATTGACCGCAGAATTTTCTTTGTCCTTACAATTTCTGAGGCTTTACAAAGATACCGGCGTCATTAAATACTTGTTCCCCCCTAATAGTGAGAATTACGACTAATTTTTTCAGTCTGACTTTATTTTCATTTTTGACCAGGCTCTTTCATTGGTGCAGACTTTCTGTGCACAATCCAGGTCTGAACTTAAAATCACAATTCCATAAAAAAAAAAAAAACTGACCTTGAGCACCAGTAGAAATGGATAACCCACATTTAGGGAATTTTTTAACTCCTTATTTATTACCAAATAGCAACGATTGCCACGTGACATTTTAAACTTGTATTTCCTTCACACACTCTGATGACACCTTGATGAAAAAGGAATTTTTTGGGTACTTGGGTGGCAATTTCAAATTTCTCTGCCTAAAAAAGAGAATTGAAAGGAATGAGCTTCACAGGTCAGTTTAAAACTAGTCACCAAGACGCAGAGTAAAACCACCAGGGTTGAATGGTTATCGACCTTTTAACTCATTTTCGAACTTGCATAGACTTACAAGGGGTGACCCATTAATTGAAAAGAAAATGGTCCTGGTGGGTCATCGTATCAAGAACCAAAAATTGTCCTCCCAAATGTGACAGAGAGGTGAGCTACCTGGCGTCGCCTGGGCCCGTAGACATCACCCGCGCACTCTGAAGTGAGTGACTAGGGTGCGTCGAAAAGAAATAAAGTCTGAAATGTCAAATGAAATGGGGGATTTTTCAAAAATTCGTTACAGAAAAAAAATGGACTTGATCCAAAAAATCGAATCTGACAATACTTTCATTTAACTTTGGGACACCATGTGAACCAAAGGAGAAGTTATAAAACCTAAAAGAGTGAAACATTAGGTATGCTCCTCCTAGCAGTCCTAGCTACTTTTTGCGAAATGCAGATCAGTTTGAAGTTTGCCTCTACTGTCCAGAATTGGACTTGATTTTGCAGTTAGGAAATAAAATTTCTGGCTCATGTGTAAACACGCGTATGTATATGCCCAAATTAATTGTAAATACGTTGTTTCGTAAAAATGGAGGTGCTCTGTTGCGGGTGCTTTTTACATGCGGGTGAACTGCTACGAAAGCCGAGGCAATAGGAGGAGGATTGGGCATTCGGGGCACATCTTGCGTCGTGATAAAATTTTATTTGCAGGGAGGCGCTGCGCAGCGCAGATGGCGCTCGAAAAGTTTAACCCGGAGCCGGTAGAGTTGTGAGTCACGGTCTGGTTGCACTTCAAATCCTAAATGCTTCATACTCTCAATTGTAGATTCTTATGCAAAGATCCACTAAAACTCGTCTC